GACCTGGAGGGACTGAGAAAAGACGAAACTTAATGAGAGCCACAAAATATGGGACGTTGTGGAGACACATGATCTCCTACGTCTTTAAGAGACACGACACACAGAAAAAGAATAAAATTACAAGTGCAAGTAAAGTAAAGGCTAATGAAGCGGACCCTCTTGCTTTCATTATGTTCTGTGAGTACTGCATTCTCCAAGACCTCTTTCCGCATTATCTGTTCCAGAAATTTAAACAATCTCTTTCTGATTCCAAGTATAAGCGTCATTTTCGTTTACATTGTCCTCAAAACTTCCGTGATACTCACATTAACCTTTTTGTTTATATTTAACCACATAGAGCAAATGAAAATGATGTAAACGCGTTCTAAATTAAACGCTCTTTAAGTATTATTTGAAGAATGTCTCCACAAAAATCGGGAAAAATATTAAATTTTCATTATGCAAAAGAAAATATTACGCTGGAGCATAACATTTTTTAGCAAATTTTCAGCACACACACACACATATGTATGTACATATATATTCAAGATTATAGTATAAAATATAATTTATATATATTAATAAATTATTAAATTAATAGAATAATAAATATAATAAAATAAAATTAATTTATAATTTATTATAAATGATATAAATTATAAACTAAATTATAAATAAATAAATTATATAAATTATAAATTAAGCTAATTTATAATTTATTATAAATTATATAAATTTATTATATATTCATGTATTTGTAATTTTATTAAAATTATTTATATATTTCTATATTAATTTTTTATAATTATTTATATAATATAATCTAATTTATATTAATAAATTTAATATTTAATATTTATTAATATTTATTATTTAATATTAATATTTATATTTATATTTATTAATATTAAATAATATATATTCTTAATACAGTGTAACCCGGATATAAGAGACCCGGATATAAGAGAAACCCGGATATAAGAGAGATTTTCTCTGGTCCCAAATTAGAGCCTGTGTTAATGTATATAAAATAGGCGAAACCCGGATATAAGAGACTTCTTCTCCGGTCCTGACAACTCTCTTTTATCCGGGTTACACTGTATTTATATAATTTGTAAGATTGTATAAATATAACATATTACATTTTATATTTCATATATATATATATATATATATATATATATATATATATATATATATATATACATATTCATTGAAGAAATTACAAGTGCAGTAAATGTTAATAAAGCGGACCCTCTTGTCGTCATTATGCCCTGTGAGTACCACATTCTCAAGCCCGCTTTTCTCTTTGTGTTCTAGAAATGTCAACTCTCTCTTTAATTCCAAGTATAAGCGTTCTTTTTGTTTACATTGTCCTTTAAACTTCCTTGATACTCACATTAATCTTTTTAGCTTCGTTGGGTTTTTCAGGAAAAATAGTAAATTTTCATTATGCAAAAGGAAAATATTATATATATATTTTTTTATCATATTTCCAAAAAATAAAGTGCATTCACATATATTTTCAAAATTACTTGCACCTGTTGACACTTCAATACATTTTAAGTACAATTCCTCAGGTATTGCGAGTCATGGGTAAGACGACAAACTACATCCGGCAGCAAGGTCTGTGATCGGGATATTTTCAGGTGCGTGAAAGCACCTTTTAATTGCTGTTGTTCGACAGGTCTAGCACTCGTTGTGGTAGCATCTGTCAGGTATGATCAATTAGCTAACTCCCAAACTGGACATAAAAGAATATGAAAGCATAAAAATAGATTCTTACCGTAAAAAAAAAAAATACCAGCAATTCATTTTTGAAAGAAAAAAGAAATCACCACAAAAACCCTTTTTACAAAAAAAAAAAAAAAAAAAAAATACTTCAATGAAATCTGAACCACAAACTGATTTCTTACAAAGGATACATAATCTATTCATACGAACCTATCCTAATAATCTTGTCGGCATTAAATAATCAACTGATGTGTTGATATATCTTGAAACAAAATAAAACATACAAAATAATCCAATCAGTTTTTAAAGTGAAGACGTTTTTAACGAAATATTGAATCTGGTTTTCATGAGAGAAATATTTACCCATCAAAGCTTTTTCTATCAATCGAAAAAAAGTAACAATCAGTTATCATCACTTGGTGCAAAATCAGGCGAATTTGACGAGTGAGTTAAGACAGACCAATTTAGTTGCAAAAGTTTTTCTTTTATTCTTCTTGCTGTATGCGGTATGGCATTGTCATGCAGTATAACCATGCTTTTCAACCCTTTCTTTCATCTCAAGGGTAATTGAACTTATAATTAAACTTCCGCGGTACACTTGAATTATGGTGATTATAAAAAAAGAGTAAAAAAAGTCTACTTTTTACAATTTCTTTTATTAACACAAGCAAAACAATTTATTGTAATTTGTAATAAAATGGTAATAATTAAAATTCATTAAAAACCTGATATTTATTATTTTTTCTGTTTATTACAATAAGGGCTAATCTCGTGCCTCCGCAATCTATGATTAGGCCTCCCACCCGAAATTCTGATACGGGAGACTCCACTCTACTACAAGTCAATTTTCGTAACGTAGTATTTATATAAAAGAGGAAATTTCCTTGTAATCTAATTATGTACAATAATGGATCAGATGCAATATAGGTGAACAATTCAATTAGAAGAATTGAAAATAAATATAATGTATCAAAATGCAAATTAGAGGACATGTCATAGTAGATTATTCCATCTCAAATAAATTAACAATGCTTTGTGGTAATTTTTAACAACGTTAAATTTTTCTTGTTAAAAAAAGTTGAATAATTTTAACAAATTAGGCACTATGGATAAAAATCAAAGCAAAAAACAAAACAAAAAAAAACAAAAACAACAGACCCCCCCACAAAAAAAAACGTTAGAACACTGGGTTTTTTCCGATCACCGAATTCAGCAACATTGATCCCGTTCAGCATCTAGATGGGTGACCTCTTGGGAATAGTAAATGCTGTAAGCTTATATGTGTAGGTGGGATAATGTATTATAATATTGGAAATGAATGAATACGTGTCTTTTCACTCAGGTATGTGTAAACAGCAGGACAGACTGCAACCTATGGCATTGGTTCTCAACCAGACTACGAGAAAAAATACTCTGAATTCAAATCTGCCTGGAGATGGATGGCAAAGGACTGATGAGGTCCTTATAAGGAGCCAAATTTCAGCATGCAACAAGCTGATGATAAGCTCCTATTCTTAAAAGCCTGACGTGTAGCACACAGTGCATCAATACCCGACATAGTATAATTTCGGTAAGAGTGCAAAATGCAGGTTACAATTAAATGAAAAGTTTAAATAATTCCTATGTGCAGGTTGATCAGTAAAAAAAATATAACTTACTGGACCATCATCCGTCGCTTTCGAAAGGAGGATCCATCCATGACGATCCCGGGAGAAAAACTTTGAACAAAGAATTAAACTTTGTTTTTGATTTTGTCGTCAGCTTTTTGTAATTACTCTTCTACAAGACATTCCTGTTATTTACGATTCTGAATTTTTGAAATTTCTATATGTCTCATCTACATTTGTAATGTTGTCAAGATTATGGTCGCCCAAAATGAATTTTGGTAGAACTTCTTACTCTTTCAGGATGGCTTCACTGGAAAGATTGAATAAACTTAATGAAAATGCACATATTTGTCTTACGCCATTGTATATATATATATATATATATATATATATATATATATATATATATATATAATGGTATATCGTAAGGCGTGTTGACTTCAGTGTTCACTTTTATATTGATATTTAAAAACGCTCTATTTCTGATATTGAGCACTTTATTCCATAAATATAGCAGACCTTAAAACTATATTTCTTTATATATATATATATATATATATATATATATATATATATATATATATATATTTGTATTCATGGAATTAATGTTTTAAGGATAGCTGAAATATCTAGGTCACATAATGAGGGAAGCGAGCTTAGAAAATTTGACACCCACAACACATATTGAAGGAAAGAGGAAGGCAGCACATAAACTATCAAACGAGCTGGTGCAAATTGGCAAAGAACAAAGTTTGGGAGAGATAACAAAAAAATAAACTTTGCTAAGAGCTCAAATGACAAGATATTGAAGAGAGTCATGATAACCCACGTCCTGAAGCGAGACGAAGAAGAAGGCGACGACGATTTTTTATATTAAAATCCGCGGATAATGAAGAAACATATTTTTCTTTTATTTGCTATGTCGTTTCATCATGAAAGTGGCCTTAACTCTTCTCAATTTCCTGTTTTGCTGCACTACGAAGTTAATGAACTTTATTAAAACTCTTTAATTGTTTCTTGGTCAACAATTAACATATTTTTTCTCCGTATTCATTACAAGAGATTAAAATAAAAAGAAGATTAAAATAAAAAGAAGAATAAATAATATTAATATCTGGCATTACCAGCATTGGTCAAAATTACATGTCTTTTATTTTGTGTGGTGTTTTGTCAGTAAAATAAAAAGATAAAAAAACAACCCTTGTGGAGAAAATTGCATCATAGATTTCGAATGAACTGAAACAAAAAGGAAACATACTTAACATCAGGAAGAAGCAGATAAATTTTCTGGGGCACGTAATGTGGAAGGAAGGCTTGGAAAATATGATACTCACGGGACAGATTGAGGGATAGAGCGCTTTACATACATGATGACCTTGAGAAAATGGATGGCGGAACAGGAATTGTGAGAATTACAAAAAGACACAACTTTATTGAGAGAGGAAGTTGTGGAGGGCAATGATTACCTAGGTCTGGAAGGGAAAAGTCACATAAAAGAAGAAGAAAGAAAGAAAAAAAACAGACATTAATATTTATTTGGTTTCAAACAACGACTACTGGGGCCCAAGTATTAATGACAGACGTTGCGTAAGATTTTGAAGAGCTTTTTTTAATAAAATACTCCTAAACCCCCAAAATAAACCTGGTTCCGCATTTTTCTTCTTCTTCGGGCTCATCATCTTGAAACACCAATTCCCGTACAGTCACCAAAGTTAAGCAACGTCGAGCCTGGTCAGTACCTGGATGGGTGTTCGTTTGGGTACAGCAGGTGATGTAAGCATGGGCGAGCGAATGGTGCTATGGATAAAGGCTCGGAACTGTTAAAAAGAGAGCTGAGTCCCAATTCCCAATGAGACTCAGCGTAAATATACTTAAGAAAGGTATCAAGCCGCCTCTTCCCCATATCTATGAGTTGATTAGTAAAACCTGTATCACTAAACTCATTATTATCCCAAGAAAAAAAAAACTGTATACAAAATATTTTATATTTCGCATTAAATAACCCATAGAGATGTTGATTTGTCGCTAAACGAAAAACGACTAACGAATCAACCAATCTTCAGTCGCATCAATCAAGGGAGATAATCGCTAAAATTTATGATAAGTTTACCGAAGTTGAGAAACTTTATAGAAAGGGCATCATAGATTTATTGTGAGCTTCAAGCTCTCGTTTTGCGGAGTGAGTCTGGATATTATTCTTTGGGAATTATTCTTTATAGTTTCTCTATTTTCCGAGTTCCACACTTCTGATGTCAGGTTTAAAATGTCCTTATCACAAGTAAAAATCTCGTGTTGAAAAGAAAATGCTGCCTCTTTGGAAGAATCTTTTTTTTTCAGCATGAAGATAAAGATAACACTATTAGTAATGTTTATTTCTTTTCTAACTAATTTAATTCTCTTTTGCTTCCAGCTGATTCGAAACGAGACTCGACCACTGAGATATTGCCGCCGGCACTTTCTTATCTCTGAAGACATGGCTGAAGATAACATTCTAGATCATTGCAACTGATGGATGATTCAGTTTTCTTTGAACAAAGGAAAAGAGAAAAATATTTTTCTGATAAAAACGCCATGGTAAATATAAAATATAGTCTTTTCGAATGTCGAAGTTTGACATAAAATCTCTAAAAGATAATTTAATGACGGTTAAAAGACAATATGGGAATTACGTAGACGTGCTCAGTGCCTAACACCATTCTTAATATATTGGATTTGTCTCTTTTATTCGGAAAGTATGATTCAAAGAAATTAATTCGATTTGCTTTGGTGTGTTTTGCGGCATATCAACCTCAATGGGTTGGTTATTTAATGACGACAAAAGTTTTTATTGCTGGTAATATTTTTAATTTTCAAAAATGTATTGCTAGTAATGTCTATTAATGTCTATGTCTGTTAATAATTTTTTACAAAGTATTTATGGTATTAAAACCTATTATTTAAAACTTTCATAGTGTTTTGACCCCATTTTAGGGGTTAACTATTTGCCCATAGCCGGGACTCTAACAGGTGCTACCACGCCGAGTCAAGGTGGACCTGGGAACACCAGCAATTAAGAGGTGGTTCCACGTTCCTCAAAACCTCCTGAGCAGAGGCCTTGCTGTTGGATGTAGTTTATCGTCTTTACTAAGATGCGGATGTAGTTTATCGTCATAACCAGGATGCGAAATTATTTGGAGACATTAGAAAAGCGATTTTTAATACTTTGATTGAATCAGTTTCGAGTCATGTCCTGGAAACTACTTTTTTTTTTTAATTTTTGAAAGAATATTTTATAAAAGAATATGTCAGGTATCAATGAAAAAAAATCAGTTAATATATTTTGAGAAAATGCACGCCAAAATCATTTTTCCTAACCTCAGAAGCCATGTCGCCAAAAATGGATGAGGGCTATTTGATGTCTGCTTAAAAATTCTTTAGCGGATTTTACAAATGATCGTAATGAGTGCAAGCGCGTCTTAAAGGAAGCAAATTTGCTATCCGTTGACAAACCGTATAGTCTGTCACTAGTTTGATTCTAGAGATTATTGGGAGCTCTGCCAGAGGTTTCGGAACAAGAGAAAATCTTCACTCCCTCCTCTCTTAAATAACTTTCAAGTGTTGACTTCTACTGCAGATTAGTGAATGCTTTGCTCGGGATCCATTCTTCACTTATCAGGAGAATCTTTCCCTGATTTTACCCTTTGAACGGAATCTCTACTGAGTGATATGTACATAACTCCATTCATGATTTCTGTAATCATCTCGAAATGACAACGGCTAGAGGATTCAGTGGTCTCCGTGTTATTGTCCTCGGGATATGTGCTCCTGAACTGGATCCTGTTCTCTCCAAACTTGTACATTATATGCCGAGATGCTTCTTGCTTTCTAACTTGTTGGAAATCCTCCTCTGTAGTTCTTCTGGGTAAGACGATAAACTACATCTGCATCTTAGTAAAGGTGATAAACTACATTCAATAGCAAGGCTACTCATCAGGAGGTTTTGAGGGGCGTGGAACCACCTCTTAATTGCTGGAGTCCCCAGATCTACCCGGACCCGCAGTTGTAGCATTTGCTAGGGTCTCAACTATAGGCAAATATTTAACCCCTAAACTGGGGTTAAACACTATGATAGTGTAAAAATAGGTTTTAATATCAGCAATAACTTTTTTAAAGGAAAAATTATTACCAGCAATACGTTATTACTAACGATACATTTTTGAAGAAAATAAATATTACCAGTAATACACTATTTACATTATTCGGACTATTGTCATGATCTTTGTCGACATATTTATTACACAGCTTTGGCCGTTGTACGATCCGGCCTTCTTATATGGAGAGAAAAGGGAGATCATCGTTCTTGTGGGATGAGGTTGAGATCATAGACAAAGGACATCATTGGAAAATTCGTAAACTTAAGGTATCAGCACATATGCTAGGCCACAAAATCTCCTGAGCCGACCAAACATAAAAATGAATAGAATATAGGAACCAGTAATAAGGTGTGCCAGAGAAAATAACAACACAAATTGCACTATGAGCACTGTTAAAAAATTATTGCTGAAGGCATTACGTTTATAATACCCAGAAATACACAGATGTCCTCAAGGACGCATAACATAGGGTATAAAGGTGTTAATTAGATCCAGTGACAGGACCCAAAGAGTGTGAGTTCAATACCTCGTTAATGCGGTGGAGAACTTGGGGAGGGGAATTGATAACTGACATCCATTAGATATGGCACGTGGAACTAGAACAGTCTAAACAAGTGAGCGAAATAAGGGGATCAGTTCGACATTCCAACCATCTGAAGAAGGCCAGAGCGTACAACGGCCGAAACGTTATCATAAATATGGCGACAAAGATGAGGACAATAGTCCGAATAATGTAAATAATGTACAAAATATCTCATCTCAGAAACATAGACTGTACCAGCAATACATTTTTGAGAAAAAAAATATTACTAGCAATAAAAAATCTTGTCGGCATTAAATAACCCATCGAGGTTGATAAGCCGTAAAACAAACCAAACTTCCTCTGTAGTCTCTGTATTTAAGGACTTCAGTGAACCTATTGACCGATAAAATCATTGCGGCATTATCTCTTTTTGGCAAAGTACTCATCAGGAGGTTTTGAGGATCTAATGAATTGGTTAATCATCTTACTTCACATGACCATGTTTCGGATAAACAGAATGGATTTAACTTGTCCAGATTTACTACTGATGTCTTAACGTTTATAAGTGAATTTGTCTGTCAGTTATTAGATGAGGATGGCGAAGCACAGACTGTGGCTTTAGACATCTTGAAGGCTTTCTACACGGTTTGGCATGCTGGATTTCAACGCAAGGTCAAAGGTTATTGTGTCTCTTCACTGGAGAATGTCATGGTGTCATTCTTGATACTATGTCACTGTTTGGGACCCGGAAAGAAATGAGTATACACCAGAAATCACTGATTTGCATTTATTTTAAAATTACGGCGAGGTGATCATATACTGATAACAAAATTAATTCGGCAAATATTACTTTTTCTATCTTTCTGCATATAACTATTTTTCCTTGAGCTTTGATTTTTACACAGACTATAAAATGATAAAGTATTTGAATAAAAGTTAAGAGAAGCAGTGAGCTAAATGCATTTTTCCAAATTTTCACATGAAGCTTTACATAGAAATAGGCATTGAGTGTCTCCAACAAAGCAATGTAAAATGAAAATATATCCATCAAGAATATCTGGAGATATGTCGTATATATTGGTGACACAATGCCGTGTCACCAATATATGACAACAAGGTAGTCAACGCGTTAAAGAATTAATGACTTTTAAATTTACTAAACAATGTAACACCTTACAACAAACAAAAAGTGGAAATCAGTAAAGAACTAATGGAGGTAGATTTTTTTTATTTCCTGCTGATTTACAAGGTTCGGTTGCTTGCTCGGTCTGGGGTTTCGTATATAAGTCGTGGGAGACAGAGAGAGGTGAAGAAAATCAAATTAAAGAATTAATGAAATTTAATCTTCATGTTTTTGTTAGCAAACTCCTTAGGGACATTCTCAGATCATTGGTAAAAAAATATTCGCTGTTTATACCAATAGTGATGAACACAGTTCGAAAAACCAAGCCATTAAGGCTGATCTCTTTTCTGACCTGTCTGTACCGGCTCAAAATGGAAATAACTGTCTTGTAACATTCAGTGCCGCCAAATGCAAGCTAGTATCTTTTCATCATCACTGATCAGAACATGACTTTTCTCCAGTTACAAGTAATGGTCCTACTGACAATGAGGATTCATATTTTGAACATTTCTTGGAGACCAAATTCAGAACATTTCTTGGAGACCAAATTCAGAACATTTCTTGGAGACCAAATTCAGAACATCTCTTGGAGACCAAGTTCAGAACATTTCTTGGAGACCAAGCTCAGTACAGACCTCGTGGAACCTATATATATATATATATATATATATATATATATATATATATATATATATATATATATATATATATGGAAAAAACGATGGAAAATAATCTGATCATTCTATCGATTTAGGAAGTATCTGACACCTCCTACCACAGTAGCCTTTACCAGATTCATACTAAAAATGGAGTATTGCTGCCATATCAGGGGCGGAAATGCCCAGTTCTCATATTCCAGCATTGGGGGAATTCAAAATCGTTTACACCAGGGGTTCTTAACCAGAGGGCAATTCAACCTAGGTGGGGAATTTCGAAGTTTCACTGAGTAGGGGAAAATATTTTACTTTTTCTTGTTTTTTTTGGAATTTCCAGTATTTA